GGCGAGTGGTATGCTTCGGGTAGATGAAGTTACCCTCTTCGTCTTTCTTCGTGTGGATATGACACGGTAGATCCATCACGTCATTACCTTCATTATCCTTTATCTTCTTGGGGTTCCAAGATCCTTTGGGCTTCCCTTTGAATTTGCCCTGAGTCACGGCCAGAGCCTCTCCAGGAGCAGCTGGCTCGGCCTTCCGCTTCTGCTTCCGACTGGAGTTTCCTTTCTCCGACTGTCTTGGCTTGTACTTGCCACTCCGGCATCGGTCTTCTTCTTCACCATTGGCGTACTTGGCGGCTATTTCCATCATCCGACACAGGGTCATATCTCCCGTTCGACCAATCTTCAGGCTCAACTCTCTGTTCTTGACTCCATCCTTGAAGGCGCAGACCGCTTGATGGTCCGACACATTCTCCACAGTATGATGCAAAGTGATCCATCTCTGGATGTAATCTCTTAGTGTTTCACTCGACTTTTATACGCAAACTTGCAGCTCTGTCAATCGGGCTGGTCGCTTGCAAGTTCCCTCGAACGTCCTGACGAACACTCGGGAAAGATCTTCCCAGGTGTAAATGCTGCTAGGAGCTAACTGATTCAACCACGCCCTGGCCGAACCCTCTAGCATAAGTGGCAAATGCTTCATGGCCACCTCATCATTACCGCCACCAATCTGTACAGCCACTCGGTAGTCTTCAAGCCAAGTTTCAGGCTTAGACTCTCCGGTGAACTTACTTACTCCAGTCGCCAACCTGAAGTTGGGGGGTATCACTGCGGCTCTGATGGCTCTGCTAAAGCATTTTGGACCTGAAACATGGACTCGGCTGCTTGTGGGCACATCTCTGTCATGGCCACCTCTATGAGCTCTGTTCCGGTCGACCAAACCTTGCACGATGATGGATCTCGCGTCAAAGCCTGGCTCTCTGGGGTCGACTGGAGCTCTCCGCCCAACACTGAGCTGGCGCCTGTCATCTTGCTGCCGATGGGCGTTAGACCCACTTCTCGGGGGAGGAGTGGGCACTCGACGCCTATCATCACGACCAAATCGATCATCATAGTGGTCCCGCCGGCCTTCACGTCCCATGCGCCTTGGAGGCGACCTTGGGCTGTGAGCCGACTGAACAGTATTCGCAGCGATGGATCGACTGTGAATCCTGTTGCGCGACTGTGACACAACTGAATTCTGATCTCCTGCCGCCCGGAGCAAATCTCTGATCTGCATCAAGCCTCTTCCAGCCTCCGACTAAGAGGGCTGAATTGACTCCGCTATACGGGCTGCAGCTGCCAAATTCTGAATCGGGGTTCGATATACCTGAGTCGGTTGCGGAAAGAGCTGACGTCGGCTGGAGTCGGGTACTCGTTGACGCGCACGCTCGTCGAGTGCTCGCTGGAGGTTCTCCAGTCGAGTGCGTTCAGCCAAGTTGGCCAAACGCGCCTCTTCCAAGGCATGAGCCTCAGGAGTTTCTCCTGCGATGGGAGTATGCAGGGCATCCATGTTCCGGCGGCGAAGATCTTCTCTTTGCTGAGAAGTGAGCGGCTCGGGCTGATATTCTTCGTGGGCCTGAGCAGGGTCGCCTCCATCGTCCATCCAGTCGATGCGGGGGAACCGAGAGGGCTACGAGGCCCGTTGACCATCAGGACCTCCGCCGGTGGATCACTGCTGTCGCACTCGGATGCAGTCTCTACGGAGCTAGTCGACAGATCGAACAGGCCGTAGAGAGATTCGTCGGGCTCAATTGCCGCGATTTGGGTGGTGGCCGATTGGCGAGCCACTGCGTGTCTCACCCATCGCTGAAGCCTCGACCGACCGGAGCGCTTGCGCTGGCGGGAGATAGGGAGGGAAGACAACACAGGAGTCGACCGGTATGGGGTCGACAGCTGCCGCAGCAGGACGCCGCGGACACATGCCCGAAAGTGCGTCGCCCCACGAACGGGGAGCGCGTCGATGTCGAGTGGTGCCTCCTGGAGCCAAGCGGAGTCGTCGGCGATGAAAGCGAGCGCACCGAGACGGATCTCGCGGCCCTCGACCAGAGCTCCGCCGGAAACCATGATGAAGGCAATCAGACAAATTGCAACTTCTCAATAAAGTCGCTAAGACACCTGCCCCACGGTGGGCGCCAACTGTCGTGGTTCTAAGTCTGACAGTAGAATGGGGGGTAGGTATGGAGAGGCAAGATCCTAGCTATGGAGTAGTTGTACACACGAGTGTTTTACGAGTTCAGGCCCTTCTCGGAGGAAGTAATAGCCTTACGTCTCGGAGCCCGGAGGCGGTCGACTGGTTTATGTGTATATGAGTTACAGGGGTGCGAACCCTTTACACTGAGGAGGGGGGTGGCTTATATAGGGTTCGCCAGACCCCTCCGGCCCTCAGTTATGCAGGGTTTAAAGTACATTAAGATAGGGGGTTACTGGTAACGCCCTCATAAAGTGCCATGAAGACTATTAAAGCTACTTAATGATAGACCGTTGCGTGCTGAGTGACTTTAGGTCTCCTGGCCGTCGAGTGGTTAGCTTCATGGTCGAGTGGCTATCTTCATCGTCGAGTGTCCTTGAGTTCGTCGAGTGAAGTCCCTCTTAGTCGACTGGAAGGTAGCTTCGTCTAAGGATGTCCTTGGGTATGGTATCCTAGATAGGTCCATGACCCTACCCTAGGTACATAACATCATCACCAGCGACGATCAAACCGGAGTCGGCAAGCTCCTCCAAATCCTCTGGCTGGAGTGAAGATCGGATCCAATCGCCCTGGATCCAACCAGGCGGCAGCGCGGACCTCGACGACGACCCCCAATTCGTCTTCTAGCCTTTCGCTGCCCCCTGTCGCCTTCTTCGCGCGCTCCAGCGCCGCCGTCTTGTCCTTCACCATGGTGGCCGGGCGGCGGCATCGAGGGCAGAGGAAAAAGATGCAGTGGAGAAGCAGAGAAGGAAGAGGGAGAATGGATGCGCACAGTGCAGACGCCTCGGCCCCAACGCCTTTTAAGGACCGCTTCCGAGTGGCTGACGCGTGGGCCCGAGCAATCCTTTTAAATCTGGCAATAGTCGCGCGCTGGATACGTGGCAAAAAAGGTGGCGCAAAAATTGAGGCGCCCCTGTCTATCCATCCAGCTTACTACGGCGCGCTCCGCCTCGCGCGCTTCCCCAAAATTTCGAATCCTGCGAGATCCGGGATACCGTAACCAATCGCGCCAAAGATTTCGCGTCAAAGTAACACTAGACGAGTGCCGGTATAAACCCACTTGACACCTTCTGAATCGATCAAGGCGATTGAAACAAAACCGAAGTTCCAACATGGGCCTCCAATCCAACATGGGTACTTGTGAAGCACAAGAGTCAAGGCAAAACTAACTTCTGCCTTCTTTTCACTCGGACCTCAATCCATTCAGGGGCTAATAGACCTAGGGTAGGGTCATAGGCTTGACCTATATGCCCTACCCAAGATCATTACCTTAGAAGCAAAGACATCCAAAAAGACAACAGGGAGTACCAATTGAGGTCGTCGAGTGCAAGCCACTCGACCAATCATATCACTCGGGTACCCCTCCCTCCTGGTATCACTCGGCCATACGAGAAATCACACGACCTACAGAAGACCAGGAGTCACTCAGGACGGCAACGGTCAGGCGTTCACTCCGTAGTCCGAAAGATCATTAATAGCACTTTATAGTTGGCGTTATCAGTAACGCCCTATCTTTATGTACATTGAACTCCTGTAACGGAGGTGGGCTGGGGTCCTGGCGCACTTTATATAAGCCACCCCCTCCTCTGGGACAAGGGATCGCACCCCCTGTAACACTCGCTCCCATATTCCAGTCTACCGCCTCGGGGCACCAGGGCTTTTACCTCCTCCGAGAGGGGTCTGAACTCGTAAACTCTTACGTAAAATCTCACTGTAGCTAGGACATTGCCTCCTCATACGTATCCCCCGTACTTACTGTCAGACTTAGTACCACGACATGTCCTCCTCCAAAAGCTTCAACTACTTGGAAGCAATCAGATTCAGCAATAATATGGTTATAACCCAAAGATGCAACCGGGGACAATCCTTCTTTCATTGCAGGGGCTTCCATCATCGAAGCTGATGAAGCATGTGAGACAACGGGCCAAGCACCAGCAAGGAAATTACCGTGCTTATCTCGAATAACTGTGCCTGTCGCCCCTTCTCCTTCCTCGCTGTGAAAGGAAGCATCTATATTAAGAGCTTAACTTTGGCATATATCCGGTTGAGTCTCTTTGAGCCAAACTGTCGCTATGTCACACAAGGGGAGCATGGGCCAGCCTAACTCAGCAGTGCCACGAGCTATTTCTCCACCGGTTTTATTAAGATTTTTATTCCAATTTATAATCCACTAGCTCTCGGGCCAAAGTAGCATAGTAGGGTGCATAGGCACCGTGGGTTTTTATTTTGATGTTGTCACCTAGTATCCATCGTTTACGGTCAGGATACTGGGTTCTCTAATCCCATTTGCTCCCCTTTCGTCTCCCAGTGTCGGTGTCGGCCCAGTAAAGTGCTTTCACCATCCGCAAATGGTAAGCGGGGCGACACAGTGATTATCAAGTTATTCGGCCTAAAAAGATTGCATTTTTATTCTTGTGAATTTTTGTAGGGATATGATCATAGTTTTTATCTTGTGGATTTATAGATATTTTGTTCCTGTGTGGACAAAGGTTTACCACGTTTTTGACCCACAATACATTCCATTTTATATAGAGGATGACAGTAGCTAGACGCGCTAAGCACATGACATGATGTGCATGATAGCACCACGAACAGATAAGTTAACACCTTACATTGAAACCAAATAAACAGAACCCACAATGTTCGCACAGATCCTTCACTTTAACCCAAAAAGGCTTTCGCCCAGCTTTATATATAAAGTATCAACCATCAACAACTCGATACAAACTCACTTTTAAAACGGATTACATGCCTAGACATATAGTGGCAAATATATGGAACGTGTGTATAGGCACTTTGCACTTGCACACCAATATTACAAACTTTGTGCATATTAATCAATCGATGCTCTTACTTTCATAAGGGGAAAGACTGAGCGTGTCGCAATGCCACACTGCCCGGATGGATTCTTTGTGCCCCTCTTCATTAGCATGTAACCTTTCTCGCCCCATGTCGGTCCCCACGAGTTCTTCACAATCCAGTACTTGGCTCCATTTTGTGTCTGTCGCCCATAGCCTACTACGGTGACTGCATGGGTCAGCTTAGTGGTACTACATGGCCCGTTAAAGATGCCTCCCTTGTAGTGGTGGAAGTGGCTGCCACTTGACGCGATCGAAACGGCTATAGGTCGGTTAGCCACGGCGTTCCTCAGCGACACTTCGTCGTTGCCCTCGACTCTCCCGGAGCCAGTGATCTTTGTGGCCGGCTTACGGTTCATCTTGCACCGACCAGTGGCTGCCTTGTATCCGTAGGAGGATGTGGTGGTGATCCCTCAATTCTGTTGTATCCACTGGAAAGCTCTGCTAGCCCGGCCACCATTGCAACCGCCGTCAAAGGAGTCGCAGTCTACTAGCTGTTGCTCCGACAGAGACACCAGGGACCCTCTCTTGATCTTGTGTAGTCCTTCGATTGCACCCACAGCGGCGAATGCCCAGCAAGATCCTGCAGTTGCTTATAACTTAATCATTGAGCTAGCTTGGTATTTAAAAAGGTATTTTGTAGCTGTTGTTACATTGTTAGCGAGTTGTCGTTCTCAATTGTTGTAGTTATATATAGCTAGTAGAGAAAAGGAACAAGAGATGTTGCACGTAGCACATTCCCCTTGGTCTTTAACCGGGGTGACGGCGCCTCTCTTCCTCCAGTCCACGCTACTCGGCCCCCTGGCTAAGAAGTTGGCGTACACGGTGACACCCTCATATGTGTCCGCGCCATTGACAGGGCCAACACGGGTGGTGATAATCTGCTCGTCATCCTCCGGAATCTGCCCGGTATAAAGCGCCATGAACTCTTCATCTGTGAGGTCAGTGAAGGGGCCCTCCCCAAGCTCGTACGTGAGCCCAGAGGTGGTGGCCTCAGCATTCACAGCCTCTATGTACCTCATGTTGCTCTTGTATACCTCAAACCGGCGTGCCTTCTCATTGGAGGTGGAGTAGGATCTGTTCTGCGCCGTCATCCACACATGGAAACGGCCCATCATCAGATCATGGTGGTCGTTGATGCCGATGTCGGAGCGCTCACGGGGAAGATCATCGCTTGTCGGCAACGACTCAGAGGAGCAGCCGGCTAGCATGAGGTAGCTGGTGGCAAGGAGCACACATAGCGCTAATGAAGAACGCCTAGACGTGGAGAACATGATTGTGTGACCAGTCATTTGATGGTAACGCTAATGTGTTGGTGGTGATTGGATGCCCCTCATGCTCAGCTAGGTTGTGGTGCCTTTATAGCATAAATAATTCAGCTGCTATATGAAAGAAGTAACATGCATGAGGGCATGGCCAACGTGCTGCCCCGCTGGTCCAGCTCGGCTCGGACTCTACAACGGAGGTTCGTGTGAGGTAGCGGCCTCTTGCAGAGGCGGCAGCTGCTCAATGAGGAAGAACAAAATAGTAACTGAGATGTGGCACACTGAGACGAGGGAAGAAAGTGGTGATTCAGGTGGGGTGTGGACAAGGCATGTCTCCCACGTCTAGTCCACCCATATTTATTTAGAGTAAAGTCTTGTCCAACCATACGATGATTGAGGCTATCATGCAGTCGGGTTTTCTTACATCACCAAAGCGGAATCATCCGGTAGCCAACGGGGCCGGCACTGCACCAGCTATGTAATGCTTGTGCACATGCTACATACCTGAAATCATAGAGGCCAAATTTCCGCGTATAAAATATTAGCCAAAGCGTGGACATGCAAATATCTGATCACCGCGAGATCAAGTTAGGCTTCAATCGTGCATACAATTTAATTGACTCAGTTACGTGCCATGGATGGAGGTAGCTCTTGGATCGGGAGAGCTAATTGCATAACAAAACATGTCTTATCCGAGTAGAAGCCCAAAAAAAAAAAAGCCCACGATCCAGCATTGACATATTTCAATTTTATCAGAAAGTATTCTAAGAAGAAAATATTTCTTGTGTTATTTTATTACAGCTCTCAAATTATGGTAACAGTTTTTTTCCAGTTTCAAAGAAAATAAATGTTTACTCAGGCTAATTAGCGTGTAGAGGAGTACCAATTAATCCCCATATATTTGATCCCACTAGGTTAGCTCTTTTGTAGGGGGTTTTTTAATATGGAAATATATATGCCATCATGCACGTGTATGTTGAAGAGGTGTGACGAACTAAGTCTAGCTCTGATGGTTAGGATCTTTGTAGTGGAATCAGCCCATCAAGGTTTGAGTTCTAGACTGGACTGGTGCTCGTATTTTTTTGGATTTATTTCAGACTTTCCGGCGATATTTGTTCAGTCTAAAGAGATGTTCCCGTTGACTATGCAAGTGCCTATATTCGGTGAAAGGAGATGTTCCTGTTGACTACGTAGGCATCTTTGATGACTTCGTCGATCTCAAGATGATGTGCCGGCTCAATCTCTTGAAGATGCTCATCGGGGTAAAGTGTGCTTGCATTCATAGGGATGAATGTATATGCGTATGTATGAGCTCTGCGTCTAATACTGCGTTAAGAAAGGTGTGCTTGTGTACACCCTCCTTACAAAATATTTACAACTCCCGAGGCAAATCAGTAGTTGAGATTAAAGCTGAGCCCATGTGGATATTTCACCATGTCGGTCAGCAGTTTCTTAATTATTGCCACAATCAGGTGGTGTTGATGCCATGATCTTAGTCATGAGTGAAAGTGGTTAAGTTTAATCCTAACTAAACAAAACATAGAGCATGCCGCACGATCCAGTGTTGTTGCTGCCACGATCATAGTCTACTGGATAATACCATGTGTGTTGTTGTGAGAATCAGTTGTAATGTAATATCAATGAGATTTGTTTTTACGAAACATAAAACATGACACACGATCCGGTGTTGTTGCTGTCATGATCTTAGACCATGAGTGCACATGGTTAAGTTTATCATATAACTAAACGAAGCATAGAGTATGCCACACGATCCCGGTGTTGTTTGTGCCACGTTCCTAGTCCATGAGTGCAAGTGTTAAGCTTAGTCCTAACTAAACAAAATATAGGACATGCCACACGATCCGGTGATGTTGCTGTCACGTTTAGTCCATAAGTGCAAGTGGTTAAGTTTAGTCCTAACTAAAAGACACATAGGAGTAGAAGATTCCACGTGATCCGGCCAGTGGTGTTACTGCCGTGCAAGTGATTAAGCATAGTCCTAACTGAACAAAACATAGAACAGCCACACAATCTGCTGTTGTAAACAAAACATAGAACAGCCACACAACCCGGTGTTGTTGGTCCTACGATCTTAGTTCATGAGTGCAAGTGGCTATAAGCTTAATCGCAACTAAACAAAACATAGGGCATCTCAACCGCGAAGCTGAGAAACATGTCAACCTTGATTGCAAAGGCAGATTATTAACAAATTTATGTTACAAGTAGTAATTAAGCATCAATGGTGTTATAGACTTCGAAACACACATTAGTTACAGGAAGAAAATATTCCTAGATCGGTGAATCACCAAATGAGCGTTAGTATAGCATTAACCTCCCGGACCAAGTTCAGATTGAAATAATACAGAATCCGTTGGTTTGGTTCAGTACAAAGATTGAAACCATGCAACACACATCTGTTACAACAAAGGCCTCTAACCACAAGTTCAGACATAAATGAAGCAAACTTTATTGGTTAGACTCAAAGAACGAAACTCTGCGATGCAGGTTCAGGACAGCAAAGTCCCATCCCCCTCGAGTAAATTTCAAAAAACCACCACAATTTTGCAGAAGTCATTGAACACCCACCAGAATGCATGTTTTCTGGTGGGTTTTTTCCCGAAGCATTGATAACTTCGACCAATTGTGGTGGTTTT